GTTCCCAACCCTGGGGTCCCGCGGGGGGGGGGGTGATGCTGCTGCCTCAGGGGCTCGGGGGGTTTGGGGGAGGACAGAGGGGCCCTGAGGGTCCCTGGAGTGCAGCAGGAGGGAGGTGACTCCGGAGGGTGATGGCCAAGGTTGGAGCTGTGAGTTTGAGCCTCGTGGTGGCTCTGGAGATTCTGAGGACAGTCTTGGAGGATGGTCTGAACCTCCTGGGCAGTGACCCAGACAGGCAGAGATCCAGAACTGTTCCCAACCCCAACCCACTTCCTTCCCTCGCCAGTCTGGGCTGGGAACCCCCTCTGACCCCCAGATTTGGGTGAACTCTCCCCCCCCTCCTGGGCCTCCCCCCTCCCCTGCTCTTCCACTCCAATCCCCCTGGGATCCGAGTGGGACCTGCTGTCCCAGCCCAGTCCTGCCGAGGGATGAGCTGGGAATGTCCCCTTGGCTGCAGGAGGGATTTGTTATCCCAGCAGAGCTTGGGAGAGAGGGATGAGCCCTCGGCTAGGGGTTGTCCCCACCCTGCAGCCCCGGGGGGACTCTGGTTGCTCTGCAGGGAGCACAGGGTATCTGTTGGTGGCCACATCCACATGCCAAGTGACCAACGTGGGAATGTGCTGGAGAGGAGGGAGGAAGAGGGTCCCAGGGAAGGGTCCTGGGCTCTGGTGGCTCCAGGCATGGTCAGAAATCCCCTCCTTGGAGGTGAGCCCGGATTTCCCAGCTGGGGGGCGGGGTGGGGCTGATGCTGGCTCAGTTTTCCCCCCTGGTGCTCCCGGGAATCCATCCCAGGGGGATGTCCCACAGCTGGAAGGGGAAGTCCCTCAGCTGGGAGGTGAAGTCCCACCCTCGGCATCCAGAGGCCATTGGAAGCGTGTCCAGGGCCGGGAAGGGCCGGGAAGGGGCTGGAGAAGCCCTGAGGGAGCTGGGGGGGCTCAGCCTGGGAAAAGGAGGCTCAGGGGGACCTTCTCCCTCTGGAATTCCCTGACAGGAGAGGGGAGCTGGGGGCAGGGTTGGGCTCTGCTCCCAGGGAACAAGGGACAGGAGGAGAGGGAACGGCCTCAGGCTGAGCCAGGGAGGGTCAGGTTGGATACTGGGGAAATTCCAGCCTGGAAAGGGCTGTAAAGCACGGGAAGGGGCTGCCCAGGGGGGTTTGGAGTCCCCACCCCTGGAAGGAAGGCCTGGATGTGGCACTCAGTGCTCTGGGCTGGGGGACCAGGTAGGGATTGGGAACAGGGGGATCCATGGGCTCGGAGGGCTTTTCCAACCTCAGTGATCCCATGACACTGGAGATGGAGTCACTGCCAGGACTGGGATGTTCTGCTGACACCCCCTT